TTTTTTGCACCGAAATTGTAAAGGACTTTTGCCGCCAGGCAGCGCTCTGCAAATGGGCATAAAATTAGTTGGGTCAGTCGAGGGATATGACCAGATCCTAAGTCGGATGCCCTTGACACAGCCACATACACACTCACTATGAACTTGGCCTTCAGCTGCCAGCGTTTATTATTCTGATAAGCAAAATATAGAAAAAATAGAAAAAGTGAACAAAAAAAAATACAAAGGCAAAAAACACTCAACTCATTTGTCCCAAATTTACTGCTCAAAGCTGTGACTGATAACCGTCGGAGAGAAGTGAACTCCAATACAGATATCCATCTATCACTTGTCATGCAGATGGGCGTCTTGGAAGTATAATTTAAGCAAATTTACACGAAATCATTCACTTTAACCAGTGGCCACTTAAAGCCTCGTCGAAAGTCAGTGTAGATTCCAACATTCAATGTTTGCAATTTGCATAATTCAAAGTGCTTTGCTTAACTTGATAAGGCAATAAGCGGCAAAGGCATAATATCCACGTTATTCCACCAATTAGTGAAGATTTGCTAACCAAATGATGGCTTACACTTGGAAAAATAAGTTAACAATATGTTGATATATCACATTTCATAATAAGAGGAAATTTATTACACTTTTAGGTTTTTACTTATATAAATTTGTATTTACCCCTCAATAAACATAAATTCACATTTTATATTTCAGAATAGTGAGTAACAACTTCCAATCTGTAGATATTTCTGAGGTTAAACACTTAAGCTCAATCCCCTTTGCTTACTAGCCTGGCCCTTAAAGTTTATTCAATAGACATTCCTTTACCAAAAATATGTATTCGCTTCCATCCTTCCTTCACGAAAGTGCCTTTCATGATGTTTCCGAATAATGCTCGCCCACAATATGCCCACAAATTGCGCTTTTATTTCGCATTGTAATCAACATGGCGGTGGCCAAAACAAGCAGTATAAAACGCAGCTGAAAAGGAAAATTAAACTGCAAAAACAAACCGCAGAGAGTTTGCCGGGCGAAAAAGGCTCTTAGACACATTCCCATTCATTATGCAGGCCATGTGCAAAGGGCAGAAGTCTTCGAGTGGGCCCGGGCCAAGTGATTCCGGGCCAGAAGCGAGGATGCACAGAACCGAAAATAGGAACGAGAAGAGCCTGCCGATGCTGCCCGATGCTTGCTGCCCACAGACATTAGCATCCAAGCGATTTAGACAAGCGAATCCGGGCATTGCTGCTTGGAGAGTGCTTAAAATATAATTTTATGTTTTTCTTTCTTTTTCTTCTTTTTGCCCGCCCAGCTTTTGCTCACTGCCTGTTAACATTTCGATTATACTTTTTAATGAAATTTCCAGACACTCTGAATACTGCTGCGCCATAACTGCATTCAATTATTAAACAGGCAAAACATCCAACAGCTCGTTCAATGACCCAGCTCTATATAAAAAATGGGAGCCCACTACTTCAAACGTTCAACTTCGATTGTTTGGGCGCGCTTTATTTTTCAGTATTTTATTTTATTTCATTTTTTTCGGTAAATGGGTTAAGTACATTCGCCGACTATTGAGCCACTCGATTCTTGTTGTTATTTTGCATCATCCCTTGGATTTTGTTTTTTCGGGTAACTATTCCTGCATCCATCAGCAGGAATTGAGGTCTCTGATCTCTGGTCTCTGACGTCCTGTCCGGTTCGGCTCTTCCTTCATTTTACATGAAGAGGCTGGCAGGTCGGGGGAAAACGGAGATAACAGAGAGTGGAACTGCCCAGAATCAACTGGGAAAACTAACTTTGCAAATCAACGAAAAAAATAATGCAGAATTTTCAGCTGTCATGGTCCGGAGCACTCGTTTCTTTTATTCTTGGTTTTTTAAAATACATTTCGATTTGGATTTCTTGTACAACATTTCAAGCCTTCCCTTATATTGATCCTCCCATTGGTCAGCAAATCAAAGTTGTATTGCAAATTAATACAGTTGATAGAGGAGTAAGTCATAAATTCATATGGAAACTTTTGACTTCCGTTTAGGCTAACCCAAACTCCAGTTCCTTCACTTGACTGGTCCTAATTCAAATTCAGTTAAGCTTTCAACTCTGTTTACCAATAGGATTCCCAAGCCTGATGTGCATGTGCAAAAGTCTAGATAGATGGACTGGCCAGACTAGCCATTTCCAAAGAGCAAAAAGGGAATACAAGCTTACTTTCCCTCGGGCGCAATTTCCGTTTGAACGGCATCAAAATCAACCTGACAGCTTAATTATTCATTATTTAACATTTGATTAGAAATTACGAATATGCTTGGCTAGCAGTTGATTATAATTATGATGATGAGCAGCTAGTTCAGTCATCAGTTAATAACAAGCAAACAGACTTTGAAGTCAACTTTATGTTGTCGGCTAAATTTTAAAATATTCTTGAATGTCATTGAGTTCTCTTTTATTATTGTCATCAAAGTTTTTATTGGGTGCTGTCTTCAGAGAAAGCGATTAATTATTTCATCAAGAGAAACGATTTTTGCAAATCGTATTATTTATAGTTATCTTGATTCACAAAATCTATACCAAACTCTCTCCCCGTTAGATAAATTTGATTGCAATCACATATTGAACGGCTTCAATTAACTCGTTTGCAATTTGCATTTCGTGGCCTATTTTTTTTTGGAAAGGAAAATGAAAATTTGCCACGCGCTTTCAATTTTGGGTTGTTTGACGAGTGGCGGCTGAGATTTTGGGTCCAGCCTGGGGACACAATTTTTGGATGCTAAATCACGGGACGGCAATTGGCGACGCGTGTCTCGGGCCTGTTGACATGGCATCATCGTCGTGATTGTGTCCTCATCACCATCATCATCACTGGACACCCGCATGCTGTAGCCGTTTTTCGTATTTCATAAGCCGCAGGTCAAGTCATTATGCATGTCCTTTGATGGCGGGTGGTCGAAAAATGAAGCTAATTTCGTTTGGCCAGAGAATGAGGGGACAAGTGGAATGGTCGGCGTTAGTATGGGCTTAGTGTCTGGCCAAACTACTTGAATTAATTTATCTTATCGCCGACTGCAGTGGAATTGGAATGTAGATGGTGGGGCGTTTCAAGGGAAAACGAATGGAAAATAGGACCATGACGAGGACCAGCATCATGCATTGTTGACGCTCAAGTTCCACTTATCAGCATCAGCAGCAATAAAAGCAACAGCGGCAGCAGCAGCAACAGCAGCAACAATGACGAGCTTCATTTGAGGGCATAAATTTTTATGCCATGCGCTTTTCACGCGACCCGTTTTTCTACGCCATTAGCCGTTCAAGTGGAGAGCTGGGAAAAAAGTGTTGCATACTTAGGCGCGCCGTTCGTCCTTCGGTTGAAATTCAATTTGCTCTCTTTAAGAATGGCTTCACATTGGCCCAAAGTCTCTGCTCGTGTGTGTATATGCGGCTAGCATGCCTCACATTGTGGCAAGTCAATTATTTTCTTGTTTAGCAAATTGCTACACATTCAGGTTTAGTGTAGACATTGTTGGGTCCTTGCTTTGTTCAACTTTGTTTTACCCCCCTAGTGTCTGTATGTGTGTGTGGGTGTGTATCCGAAGCATCCTTCTCATCACTATCATCATCATCGTCATCTCGGTTTTGTTAAAGTTCCGCCTTCATCGCATGATATTTTGGTTAACAGACACGTTTGCTAAGCATTATAAAAAAAGTAACCAACCATAGAAAATTCTAAAACAAAAGCGAAACATTTTTTTCTTCTTCGATGCTATGCATAGCGTCTGCAGTATGACATGCAACATGTTATCCTCAGTCAGATGAAAATCTCTGAACTTCCAATTAAAACTGATATCAACACATTTAGTTACTACACATGAAAGTCTGTCATTAGGGTGGGATAACAAAAGACTAAATCGGACTAAAGGGCTTATGAAGTTTGTTGGGACTTAGCTTGACTTTAATTTTTTGGTTACATTTAAAAGGCATAGACAAGGATTAACCCCTACATTTCAGTTGCACAGAGAGAAACTTAGCACTCTTTTTAAGTTATAATAATATATATTCATTGTTTAACTTTCTTCCTCATTGCTTTTAATTAGGACAAGGTTTTTAACCTTCAATCTAAGAAATATTTCTAAAAAAATTTTATTTTTACCAATTAGCTGCGTTTTTTGTACGTAGATAATGTCCAATATATCACCCTAATTTTCAAAAATGCCCTGCATTATGACCCATTTCTTTCAGATTTTCCCTCTGTATTCTGAAACCCGAAACGTGCCTGGATTGAACTTAAGGAGATTTGGTCAAAAGCCGAACTGTAATGCTTGATAGATGTCCTTGGCAAGTGCTTTGCCAGCTTATTTCCATTCCCATGCTCTGTGCACCAGTCAGGCTGGCAGAATGCAACTCGAACCCAACTCTGACAGCTGCAAGCCATTGATGGGCTGGCTGGGAAAGGCCACAGATTGAGCCTTAAAAAACGCTCAAGAATATCCCCTTTTTGGGGTCGCCAATGGGCCAAGAGAGGGCAACAAAATTGACCAATTAAGGCAGCTGGAACTGGGGAGCGAGGTTGGGTTTTTCGAAATAGTTTTAGGTTGTTAAGCTTTGCATAATTTTTATGCAAGCATGCGTTGTTATTTGCCTTGTTAACAGCTGCGTCAGCAGGAGTCGGGTTCAGAGTCCTCCTGGCCCATGCATACATAGCAACCTCAACGACAAAGTCAACGTCATTGTTCAAGTGCACCATGAAAAGGACACACACGCGCGCAGCAAGGAAGTAGATGGGCAGAGTAGAAGGACTGGGCCAGGCCAGGCCAGGCAGCAGAGTCATAATGCAAATATGCCATAAACTCAAAATGTCAGAGCAAAGTGCAACAAGAACAACGGAGAAGGAGAAGGACGGGCATGAACACAAGGATATACACATGGAAGGCAGAACGAGGGATGAGGACAGCAATGGCAACATCTCAACATGATGTGCCTTTGTTGCTATTGCTACTCAGAAGACCAGAAGGCTACCAGGCTAGCAGGATGGCCAGGGATCCAGGATGGTCCTGCGATTGATGGATGGCTGCAAAGGACAAGAATGAGACGGAAGAAACGACCAAGGAGATGCCACAATCAACGTCATTATCCGTTGGCATTGAGCGTGCTTAAATTGTCACCTCAAGGAAGTAAGGAACGAAGGCAGGCAGTCAGTCAGGCAGGTTGACCCAGGACAGGGCGAAGGAATTTCAATTAAACTCTACACAGCCGTTGGAAATATTTGCACATTTATTTTAAGTGTTTAAGTAAATAACACCAAATCTGTTTAATGAAACACAAAGGCAGCTTCGTCTAAATTAATCTTGCCAGCAAGGACAACGAAACCTGTTCGAAGGACAACGGTCTGTTGGACAGTTTTCCGTGTGCGTGTCAGCCTTAATTGGCTTAATACATTAAAAATACGTATGTAAATTGAGCCAAGGCAAAAAGGATCAGGTCTAAAATTTAATAAATCAAAATAAATTGTCCATGAAAATGATGGCATGCTTGAGCGAAATTTTCGTTTTGAAATTCCTCAGAAAACTCTGTGTACAATCAACGACACTAAATGAAACGTTTTCCGAAATGAAAATGAAACATTTTATGATCCCTGATGAACCCAATGAACCCAGGGATTACTTTGGCATGGAAAATGTGCTGGAAAAACCAAAACCAAATACATATAAACTCGTACACGTTAATTATGAAAAATTATCTATTGATGTGACTGGCCCGAGAGTCCAACTTCTGGCCAAATCACGTGGCGAAAGTTCATTTCCACAGCCATTAAAATGAGCAATGTGCCCCCTGACATCTGGACACACGGGCATATGGTGCGTTCCTCCATCATTTTGAGGCTTTACACATAATTATAGTTTATTAAGTGACTTCAGAGAATACGGAAAATATTTTGTTAATGTTCGCTATAGTGTTTCAAGAGTTGTCTACCTATTTAAGGTAAAGCTGTTAAACGTTATTTAAAATGTTTAATTTAGAGCACATTGATAATAATAATAATAGTTAAGTTTAAATACTTTTCATTTGCATTCTATACTGTGCTACGAAAGAGAGCCAAGTTGCAAGAGCTGATAAAATGATTAAAAATAATTCATTGGAAACATCACAGAGACCCAAAATGCAAACTCGGAATTGGCATAGATTTAGGTGGATATAAAATATCTCCAGCTGTAATTAAATTTAAGAAAAACAATTAAAGAAAAAATATTATATTCAAATCAACTAACCGTGGTTCGAAATTCCTTTAGATCACCGGCTTTGCCTATCTCCAAATTTGGCCTTCGAATGATCCTAAATTGGTTCAATGCTCCCTGAGCTGAAATGGTTAGCAAAAGTAGGTCCATTGTGTGTTTGATAATTAGTGTCCAGAAAACAATTCCACTGAAACTGAAATCGATAATCATTCTAATCCCAATCATGGCGACCAACACTACTTTATTTATCAATGTCAAAAATAGTGGCAGGACAAAGAGTCTCTGGAAAGAGATGCTGATATTATATATTTCTCTATACAAATATAGGCATTTGTCTAGGCGATTTTGCAGCTTTCTTATTTTTTGTTTGCTTGTAGAAATATCCAAATTATGCAGTTGGGTTGTCAAATGATCACGAACATATTTATTGACATCCGAATAGAGAACGCCCAGGCTGAGATAGGCCATAAAATTAATATGGATGAACATATTTGTACTGCCGACGACATAGGCATCGCACCACCAATTCAAAAAAAAGCTCCACGAAAGTTCTTCTTTTGTCGTAAACCACAGATATGTTAGCTCATGGATCAGACAAACAGAGCTTATTAGAATCAAAATCAGTTCTCTTCTACCGCCAAATCCAATTCTTTCTGGCTTAAATAATATCCTTACTTGCCAAAATAGGTGCAAAAACTTATTCACAAGTTCAATAATTTCTGGGCTTCGAAAAATCTGATATCCAGAAATAAACAAAACAATGGGAATGCTCAGAAAAAGTCGCGAAGCATGAAGAAATTGTGCAACTCGATGACTTGAGAAAAATTGATACGCCGAACCTGAATAGAAGAATCTACAGTAGGTCACAAGTCGATGGGTTAGACTAAGCCATTTCATCCATCTGCAAACTGATACTTTATCCCCTCCTTTGCTTTCTTTTTGAAGACAAAAAAATATCACTCCAATACATTGTCCATAGCGGAAAATCCATCGCAGAGTTCTGGCCGAAAATTTCGGAACACTCATCTGACGAAAGACCCCGAACATGTCCGCCTTGGGATTAATCTAAACTGGGAATGGGATTGGAAAATAATTGCTCTAAGCAAGAGAACAGACAGTGCATTTCGTTAATGAAAACTTAAGTCGATCCGCGATGATATCATATGGTGGCAGGTGACAAGATATGTCAGGTGGTTGCCTTCAAAATGCTTTAAGCTATAAGGATTGGGGTTAATTTTGTTAATGAAAATTTCTAGAGCTTTTGGACTCAATTAATTTGGTCAACAAAATCTCTTACCAAAGTATTTTAATAGTTTCAAATTTTGGAATCAAGTCTTAAATATTTTTTTATAGCAACATTTCGTTTCTAAGTTTACTATAAATTTCCTTTATTTTTCATATAAATATGTTACTTTGACTTATATAAGGATTTGTTTGAATTAATTTTGTAGATTATTATGATCTTAATTTTAAGACATATTGTATGATAAATATCATGTAGCTGGTTATAGCGCATACTATATAAACGAAAAGACGTGTTAGAAATATCAAAAAGGCCCATGAGATTAACTCTAAATTCATTTAGGTTAAGATACAAGACGAACAGTTCCACCTATAATGAGAAACAACTTTTAACTTAAATTTATATACGAAAAAATGACACTCACCGTGTTTTGCCAGTATTTACGGTCTATAATAAAGAAGATCTCCAGATTGAGTTCCCTAATATATCGAAATTGATTGATTGATTTTTGAATGACCAAACTAAAGCAAAGTAGTTCAGTTATGACTTTAACGAGCGTAAACAATACCCAAAATTGGCTAAATTTTAAGTCAATAATCATTTTATAAGACATAACAACTATATATGAAATTGATTTGACAAGGTTTAAAAATAAGTAAGCTGCAGAAATTTTCTGTAACGACAAGACCACATCAGAAATCTCCCTAAATATAGTCATTAGTTTCTTTAATCTTCGGATCCGAAAAGCCTGTCGATATAAGGGATTATTTCTACGAATAAATCTAAGGACATCACCTTGACCCCGTAATTCGAAGGATATGTTTTGGATTATCTCGGAATAGAGGACATTGAGGCTAAGGTAAAAAATGAAACTGCAACGCATTACCGCATTACTGGAAATTTCAATAAAGCTGTAGATACACCATCCGGTAATATTGTTTCTACCGATCCGATTGATTACCATCAAAAGATTTGCAATTTCTTGGAATTGGCAGAACAAAAATAAGGCTATCATATTTAATTCACGTGCATTTCCAAATCCTGTTTTTTTCATGACTGACAAGGATCTCACTTGTCGAAAAAGTTGAAGATATCGGTTGAGCAAATTGATAATGTCTTTGCCATAAAAAAATTGTAGAGCCATCATCGACATGTAGCAGGGAATCAGAATTATAAGACGTGACCAGTGCAGTAGTCTTTCGATAAAGTCATTTCTTTCCAAAATCCACGTGGCGTAAGTATACAATATTTGGAAAGAGAGGTATGAGTTTCAGTATTACTGCGATCCACCTTAGGCAGAAACTATTGCAGTAATTTTCCTCGATGATCAAAGCACCATTATTTTGGTTTTTAAGGCGAAAAAATATGGCTCCAATATATCTGCCATAGAATAAGAGGACACGTAGAATGGCGGCGGACACTTTTGGTGCAAACATTTTGGGAAACAAATAATGAACTTTCTTGCTTTGAAACTCGATCGAAATGAAAAAATTTACCGTTTTTCTGGCTTTTACTAAATTAATTTTCCTTATGACTATTTAACTTTTGTTAAGATCTAAAGTCCCTTGGCGATGATAACGACTGCACCCGGAGAATAAAGGCACAGCGACGTTTTAAATTGCCATTTGACAGATATGTCTGGCAACCATCAACATTATTGCTTTAAACTACAAAACTATCACTCAATTTTGCTAATGAAAATTTTGGATTATCTGATTTAAAATTGATTACGAAAAGACAAGTATAATTGTATTGTTCATTTGAATTAAATGTTTTCTCTTTTTATTTACATAAATGTTATATATTTAAAATGTTAGTTTCGTAACTGTATTACACATTGAATGATAAATACCAGGTAACTACTAATACAGGATACTGTATAAATGAAAAATTGATTGGAAATATCAAAGAGGCCCAAGAGGCCTACCTTGAACTTATTTAAATTCAGATACATAGCAAATAGTTCCACCTAAGAATAAAAATATTTTAAATATTAAATTGAATTGAATTTAAATACGTTTATGCTTACTCTCTTTTTCCAACCATTATTCTCTCCCAAAAAGAAAAGCTCCAAGTTTAGCTCCTGAATATATTTAAATTGATTGATAGATTTTTGAATAACCAAGCTTAAGCAAAGGACTTCTAGCACGATTTTAACAAATGTGGATAGAACCAAAAATTGTCGAACTCTTAAGTCGGCTATTATTTTGTAAGAGACCACAACTATGTAGGAAAGTGATTTGACCAAGTTGAAGAAGAGATAAGTACTAGATATGCCCTGCAACGATGTCACAACATATGAAATCTCTCTAACAATTTTCATTATTTTTTGTAATCTTATCATTCGATTGCTCTGACTATATAACTGAATACTACTGCGTTTAAGTATTAAGACCTCACCTTGAGATCGCAATTCCAAGCTGATGTTTTGGATTATCTCGGAATAGAGAACATTTAGGCTAAGGTAGAAAATAAAACTGCAACGTAAAGTCGCATTGCTGGCAACTTCTACGAAACTGTAGCTAAGCCAACTGATGTAATTAAATGGTGGCGGGAGCTCGTGCAACAATGTCGAAAGAATGTATATTTCATAAAACTGGCAACCCAAAAAAAAGAATATCATAAATAATTCACGTCTGCCTCCAAATCCTGTTTTTTTACTGGCCGATAACGATCTCACTCGATGGAAAAATTGAAGATATCGATTGACCAACTTTATCACATCTTTGCCGTGGAAAATATATAGCATTGTCATCGAAATATAGCATGGAATCATAATTAAGAATCGTGTCGCATGCAGATATATTTCGGTCCACTCCCCTCTCGCCGCGATCCATAAAGGTGTACTTATGCGAATGGATGAATAAAGGCAGGAGCTTCAGGATTACCAACATCCACTTTAAACTGGGATAATTTTCCTCTACGACCATAACACCACTTTTCTGGTTTTTGGGACGAAAAAATATTACACCAAGACATCTTCCGTATAGCAGAATTACTCTTAGGATTCTGGCAGATACTTTTGGTGCAGAAATTTTCCGAAACCGTTTATGACTTCCTTGCATTGCACTTCTGTAAAAATGAAGAAATAATCGCGTTATACCAGTTCCTACGGAATTAATTTTTCTAATGGCTTTTTAACTTTTGCTAAGATCTATAGTCTCCCTGGACAAGAGGAAATAAAATACCGTTCTTTATTTTTCAAATGTGTCATGTTAATAAAAAGTTAATGATTTAACAGCAAAATGTACAGCTTAACTAGAAAGTAAAGTAACTGCTACCATATTTGACAATTTTTCAATGGTTAAAGTAAGAAAATATATGTAGATTTATTGCAGAACTTTCGAAACTATTTCATTTGCATTTTGTATTGAATACAAATGGCAAAATAGCTGACAACGGCCGACATATATACCAAAAATAAGTTCTTAGATAGATTAAATAAACCAAGAGGACAGACTCGAAGCTCGTATACATTCAGATGAATATAGAACAATTCGCACTGTGAAAAGGGATATTCTGATTTATATTATTTAATTTTTGATTGATAACTCACCGTTTTATACCAATTTCTGACTTCACTGAGACGGTAACCATCCAGCATCAAATGACGAATTTCACGGGACTGGACCACAGCTCTTTGGGCAGTCAGAGTCAATAGAAATAAGTTTGAAATCTCAACCAGAGTCTTAAGAAATATGATTACAAAACTATTTTCGAATTCTAATAATAAATAAATATAACAGGAGGAAAACGCTAAGGCTATTCTCGCACAAACCGAAAAAAAGTGGTATGTCATAGACTTTTTTGAAAACGGATGTCAAGGAATGAAGGTCCCTGTAAAGTTCGAAACATGTTATCAACCTCTTTTGGATTTTTTTACATTTCCTTTTATTAGTCTGTAATTTTATGACCTCTAATTGGGATCTAATGTATTCGTTCAAGTCTGTATATAAAAGTCCTAAACTCAAATACCACAAGGATGCAATGTTTATAAGCATAATAATGCTAAAGGTAAGGTAAATGTCAGCCAGCCAACAAATAACTTCCAGTGGGTCCCAATGGTTATTAACTAATAGCAGCAGAGCGATTTCTGCCTGAATTAAGAGCACCAGTATAAAAACTAAAATTCCCAGTTCATAATTTCCTCCAAATCCATTTCGATTCCGGTTGCAAATGGTTTGAACTTTTCGATAAAGTTGTAGAAATCTATTGACCAGATAGGTGACCTCTGCCCCTTTAAATAGTTGCAGTCTTACAAAGGCCAAGCAATTGATAAAATGCAGCATTATTCGTATAATATGCATAAAAGTTTCGATCTTATCAGAAATCATCATAATCCATTTTATGTAGATTTTAAAAAATATTGTCATACATCCAAAGCGAAAAATGGTAACAATCCATTTCCACCAAAGAGCACTTTCTTCCATAATCACTTGATCATCATCACTGCTCTTAAATCTTAAGCAGACTGCACCAAAAATTCTGCAGACATGAAAAATCCAGCGCAGAATTCCGGCGGAAAGTTTTGGAACACTTAACTGCCAAGGCACTCGGAACATTTTGGGAGAGGTTTTAATTACGTTTGAATTGAAGAATAATGTGTGCCACTATTAATACCTGGCTCTAAAACATTTCCCTAATGAAAACTTGAACTATAATGTTGATCAGCTCCATGATGTCGAAAGGCATGACAAGTCCATCAGATATCCGCGTCTGTTTTGACGCTAAACGAACTCTACTGTTGAAAACGTCTTTCGAATAACACCGGAAAAAAATATCATAATAATATATCATTTTTAAATATTTAGTTTGATTTATAAAGTATTGATATTCAAGATGAAAAATACAAAAATATTACAAAAATGCACCATACTATGTCTAATAAATCCCAATTTAAACTAAGATAAGAAATTAAAACCCGAATTCAAGAGCTTTAAAGCTTTTCAATAACTGTGTGATAGAAATTGCACCCTAATGTATCAATTATTGCTATCAATTTCAACAATTAGTCAAATCAAGCAGATTTGCAATTTAGAGTTATGCATGTTTACGTGAATTATTTATTCAATGAATGCGGCTTTAATGATAAATGTGATCAACGAAAACCGCTTAAATGCATTTCGGATGTTTGTGTGTTTTTGTTAGGGTGGCTTGTCTGCCTGTTTCACATTAAGTGTAAAGTTATTTATGAACGTTAATGCATATTCAACTAATGACCCTAAAACACACACACACGCGCAAACACACATTCGATTTTAAGGCTCTTTACTGTGTGCAAACATGGGTATGGTAATGCCATTAATACCATCTCGCCCGTAAAATAGAATAAAATTAAATCGAATAATTTCGCTGGCTAAGCGTTCATTGATTTAAGTAAATATTAGTTCACACATACATATAGGCATGTCAAGTTTGTGCCATAATTGCCAATTGTTAATGAGAGACTGTGAAATTCTAACAACTGTCACAAACAGAGGCACCTCAATGGTCTCAAATCGCCCAAAGGGGTCAAAGTGCCCTTTTCCTCACTACTCCCCTCGAACTCTACTGCCCACCACCCCCTGTTCTAACTGCTAACCATTTTGCCACATTCGAGTATGTCACTAATTTTATAATGCAAGCCGCAAGACATAAAATCGACAAAGCCAAAGTGCTTAAGAATACAAGTCAAGTCTCTCAAGCTGGACATACATTCGCATAGGTACAGTGGGCTCCATAAAGGTAGGGTAATATAAGGGATAAATTAAAGAAACTTGACTTAAACTTATTTGTTGAATTCTTTTAAAAAAGGTAAAATAAATCCAATCACAAACGATATAAAAATGGAAAGATACATAGTTAAGTCAAAAAATAATTCAAAATTTTTAAAATGTTTTCCTTTTAGAAACTTTTTTTTAGATAAACTAAATAATTATTTCTTAAATTTGGTATTAATAGAATTATTTTGACTCGCACTGTACAATAGTTATCTTGGTGAATCGTTCTGTCTTGGTCAGCATTTAGGTTCGTTTTTGTGGTGGCTCGTTCCTTGTCTTTGTGGGAATGGATATATCTGGGGTTTTCAGTGCGGGTCCTGTCAAATTGCTGCGTTGACAACTGACATGTGCCTACTGCCAACTCGTCCTACCATCTGTTTTCCCGAGAAACGTTAGCTTTATTATAGCCTTTAATTACTGTTGGCCAGTTTCAGTTTTCCAGTTAGCCAGTTTGCCAGTTGTCACGGCCAGCAAACTTAATACCGCTTTCACTTGCTTGAATTTCAAAACCTTTCGTGTTTACGGCATTTGCTTGTAATTTTATTACATTCCTTTCTCGCTCTTGGACTCTCTACCTCCCTCTCTTTCTATCTCTCTCTCCTCTCCATTTCAGCCTGTCTCTTCATAAATAATTAATGCCTTTGAGGTATGTAAACTAACAGGATACGGTTGTTCAACGGTATATCCCTATGTGTGTGTGTGTGTGCGAAAACGAGTGTATACTTTATGTCCTGTAAATAAATTTGAGTGCGTAAGTGTAATTGTGTTTGCTTTGGCTAACAAGTATAACCCTGCTGCATATGTTTAATGGCTATAAAACCAAGACTTTCGGGTTAATGAGTGTATCTAGTTAACGGTTGTTAGTTGCCGAAATACTTCCTGTTTCATCAGACAGCGATAAAAATTTGATATGGGTCGATCATAAAAAGTTTGTTACGTATCATTTTATAAGATTATAATGAGGGCTTTTTTATTGAAGTATAATCCTTAAACTAATTAATTTTGAAGGATATTCGGTTTTTGGAAATTCATTTCTTATTAAATTTGTAGTATCAAAAGAAGTTTATCCGGTTTCGGTTAAGTCTATGTTAATAGGTAAAATAAATTTATAAAGTACACAAATTCTTGATCAGAATTATTAGACACTTCTATTTAAACGGGCAAATAGTATGTCTCTATAAATGCTTAGATCTCGAGAACTAAAAACGCTAGAATGTTGAAATTAAGTTAGGTTTTTGTTTAAGGTGGTCTTTAAAACAAGAGTTGAAAAACGTTTATAGTATTGGAGCAATATTAGTATAGATTGTCGTATACTCCTTAATTAAAAGACCACCACTAAGTAAACATAATTTTACGTCAATCCACATCACACACTTAATCTCATTTCCAAACATTCAATTGATAGAACACAAACAAGCATCTTGGTCGACACTTCGCAAGTTGCAGTTCTTTGATCAGCACTATCGACATAATTGCATTTTGAAAAGCTTAGTTAACATGCAAGGCCAAAAATGCTCTTGTACAAATTCAAGGTAGAACGACATATGATATTTATGACAATGGTGTGGAATTTAAATACGCCAGCTAGCTTAAATGAAAGAGCAGCCGACGGAGAAGAGGCCAAATTGCAACATTGCAGCAGGCGTAAATTGGTGTCTAATAAACACATAATCAAGGTTCATTTGCTGCAGGAGGCACTAAATTGCATTAGCACAAAGGATGACATGCCACCACCACCATCACCATCGACCAAAACCCACCCCCCACTTAGCCACCTTTCGCCCGCACAGTTTGCCAACTTGTCGACAAATATGTGTGCAAGATATTTGGCCTACGGGCGTGTCGTCGTATATGGCTGCTCGATTTTCCGCCCTGCCCGACCGAAAATCCGTGACAGTTTAGTTTATGGCCCAAAGCATGTTGGGGCGTATCTCAGTTACATTCGAATGCATTGCTACGACAAAGCCAACAACAAGGCCGGGTCATTGTAATGAGCTTATATGCCTTTGATGCAAAAGGAGCCTCGTCAGGATATATACGTAGCTCCCCTTGGCGTGCAAGCTCATAAGTTCCAAAAGCTCCTGATCAAATTGTACCGGTTAAATGAGCAAATACAAATCACACCATTCAGCCAAATAATGACTGAATGCATCCCAACGCCCCTTAAAAATCAATACTGCTGCTCCTTTAATGTTCATTAATAGAAATCAAAGCTTAAATTCTATGAAGATTGGTGGTAAGTGAATTGTTGTTAAGGGCTAAAGGAGAAACATATTTCCGACTTATTGTAAAGAAAATGTTTGTATTTTTGTTGCAATATTTTATCTTATATCCATGAACTTCATTAACGCATAAAAAATGTAACTAGTTCTTGGGCTTGATTAGCTAAATACCAAAGCATAGGCCGGGACAACTATAAAGAGAAGAATCCGGCTGAGCCGTTGACCCGAATCCATCCACTTACCGCCCCCTAATATCTGCACCACCCACATGCACCCAATCTTCCAAAAACACCCGGCAACAATCCAGTGCACCTAGCCACTAATTGCTTTGGGCGTTGGAATGCCGGCCAGTTTGGCAGTCGGACAATGGCATTCGGGTTAGAGTGCTCCTCGCTGCAATCACGACCCCATTGTGACCTTAAGCAATTTCTGTGCCAGCAACTAATGTGTGGTACAGTTGCCACGCCCACTAATTACGGCGATGGCCGCACGCCCATTGGGTTGGGGGAAAAGCGAGAAATTGTTAATTAATTATCAGCTAGAGCTTGTACTCTTTATTGTTGTTGGGGTAATGCATTATGTTTATTAGTCTCCAGCGCTCTCCAGCGTTTATTTTTAGAATTTAGTCTGAATCGGAATAGATCAACTGCTTGGGCTTGCGGTAGATGTTGCTGATCTGGATACTTTCATCAGAATCTGATCCGTTAACCTTTTTGATCTTAGAGTTGCTGCAACTAGGTTCGTCTAACAAATCATCATCATCCTCGGACATATCGATACTATCATCCTCTTCGTTCGATTCGCCTATATCTCCACCATTATCAACCTTCTCATCGCCTAGCTGTTGGTTTTGGGGGGTTATGCCTTGAGTGTTATTTGGCATGACTACAGACTCCGTATCGCTACGAGGTGGCTCGACATCCGTATCATCAGCGGTGCAGTGATAGATGGGCTGGACACGTGGCTTCCGGCGATTCAACTGGAATTCGCGACGCTTTTCACGCTCTTCCTTGCGTAGGTTGGCCATTTCCTCCTTTGCACGCCGCTCACGATCCTGCACAGGATTAGCACCCATGTCCATTAGTACCTTTAACGCAGCCCGTTTGTGGTTTATTCATGGCTCGATTACGCAATCCCTGAACATGTCTTTGGCCAAAGTTCGAGTCCAATTTTGGACGCAGTGTCATCTTGTCCTTGATAGTACCATGCGATTGGTACAAACTGTCCAGACGGACATATAAATGGTTATGGTCATCGGTTACCGGATGATGCATCACGTCGAAAACCTCGCCGCCCACATGGAAGGTCTCGCTGCCGTCGGACCAGCGAACAATCCTTGAATTCGACTCCATCCCTTTATTCGGGCCCTCTCGCCAACGTACGGTTGTCTTAAGACGACTTATAAAATCATTCCGAGACTGTTCATCCTTTAGATCTTCTGGAGTTATGAGATTCTCCAAGGATAGGGCATTGTAAGCCTTAGATTCCACGGGTATAAAGTGTGGCATCCTCAGGAACTGCGATGGTCCCTCAAGGATACCAAAACTTTCAGCCGGAATCGTGGCATTAAACTTCACCGTCAACTCGTTTCCAAATATTTTACGATAATGGTCATCAATGGACGGTACAGGTTTTATAACTTTAGTTATTCCTTCTCGGCTGTTATATGTGAATTCCGAATTAGATGATTTATTTTCGGCACTTGAAACTGATTTCTCATCCTCAGAGTTATTACCGGAACCGCCATTTAAACTAGGATCATCAGAAGAGGAAAACTCTAACTCAGACATGAGATGTGTCAAGGCAGTCTTTTCTTTGGGTTTGACGGCTTGGATTGCTTATCAGAATCCATTAAACTGAATTTCGGAGGCGGTGAACCGCATTGAGAGGCGATGATCAACCTTGTGGGAGATCCAAGTTCGGGCGATGAAATTGGAGAATATTGTGGGAAAAGCTTTGCTGGCAAAACTTCTTTCTTTTCATAACTCTTTTCATTGAGATTATTTCCTAAGATCAAATTTGAATTGTCGTTGGCTTCTTTTGGCAAAGGTGTTGGTTCTTCATTCTTATCACCCGTTCCACCTTCTGCGTATTCCTGTAAAGCAGCTATAATTTCGTTGGGGTCTAAAAAGGCGCCACTAGAAGCTTCGTTTAAGTTAAGATTGTTATTATTAATCATGCTCGATGGGATGGAAATGCCCTTATTAATATCATTTTCTTTTATGGCATTTTTTTGTTGGGTATCAGGAATATCTGGTGCGGGACTAGCCGATACTACACAATCATTGGTATTAGGATTGCTCTGGGAGCTCGGAACCAGAGAAGTTTTAGTTGGTGGCTGTTCATCGCCGGCAGTATTGCCTGATTTTTCTTCATTATCTTCCTTATGCTTTATACTTGCTTCGTTTGGATTCGAAGTAGAGTTGTTACCGTTTTTTTTGAAGATTTATCGCACTTGCTAGAAGTAGAGCGATTGCTGGAATCGCTCTCGGTGCTTATATTCCATGAAGAAATGCTGGAATATTCTAAATCTGATGGAATTTTTGCTGATGTCATTAAATTCGTATCACCTGGTGATTTTGTAACTCCACTAACATTATTTATCGTTTGTCGTGGAGAAAGTGAAAGGCTTATACATTTGCCTGAAGTATCTGGCTGAACGCTGAAAAAATCTAGATTACCAAACATCTTATAATAGATTTTAAAACCACTTACTTGCTATTCAGGTTAGACAAATTGCTAGGGGCTTCATTATTTGCTGATATAAAATAATTTTATTTTTAACATAAATTGTTATTGAAAATAGTCCATACAGACCTTCCATGTTTCTATGCTTGCAGTTAACTTCAGGGTTGATCTATTAAGCCTTATAAATCTCAATCAATTTAGTTCAAAGGAAACAAATTTTCTTTCGCTGCACACTGATTGTTCAATGACAGCAGACTATAATGACATTTACAATCGATTAATAATCAGAGTTGCCGCTAACTGGGTAGTCACCTATATTTCTGTCAATCAGTGTTGTGGAAGGCATAAACATATCTTTCACTTTTGATTTTGCAGTTCTAATTTAAATAGTTATAACTAATTCCTGAACGTTTTTGGTACTATTTAGAAATGCTTATAGTAAATACAAACCATTTCTGTAGCACAATTTTGGGGAAAGGGCCAACATCAGTGTTTTTAAACACACTACTATTTATTTTAAGATTACACTTAAGAAAGAACATTGCAAGTATGTAGTGTTGCTAAAGACACAATAAAAACTATGTATTTTCAGAGTTTGCATATCTGCATTAAAACGTAAAAGAAGAATGCAAGTCATGCTACTCCTAACCAAAAAAAAATATAAAAATAATTACCATCCTAACCATTTACGCTTATAAGATGAGCGGGTTTTGTCCCTTTCCTTATTTATTCGATTTTTATAATATATCGGATTAAAGGGTTAAACATTCCCAGTACTAAAACGCTTATTTGGTTTTATTTGGGTTATGTTATAAAATATTCGAGCCCTGCCATAATATGGGGCAATTATAAAAGCAAAAATATAAAAATAAAAAGCGGTATTAATTTAATATTGTTCAGACAGCGGCAGACCTCGCCGCTTTATGCCCTTCGCCCACTCAAACCCATTTGGAATGCCAACAGAAGGGCAATAAAACATGCATCGCCATTTCCCACTCGTCATCATCGACTCTCTTGACGATATGGCCCCGGTATAACCCCGGTATTGCCTTATTGCCGAATACCGTATGGGCATAAGCTCTGTGCTTTTTTGCATTTTAATATTTTTATGAGTTCTCGATTAATTAAAACTCAACAACAAGCACCTGGGCCAGCGAATCGGCGTCGCCGGCACGGAAATGCATATTGCATATTATCCGGCGAAAAGGTCATCAACTCGAAAGCAAAGGACGACAGCCACTGGCGAAATGCGGATCAAATGATTTATTCATAAATTCCGCATACGCTAAGGGCGCAAAAAAATGCTTGTAAGCCGCAAATAATTATTTACAATAAGTCGACGGTAATGAGGTTGCCGTGGCAGCCGTAAAAACCTGAACCTGTCGTTAAGGATTTTCAACGTAAATTAATAAACGGCGAATTAAACGAATGTGCCGAGTAGTTGATGTCCTTATGTACGGGTGCAATAATTGCCTGTCAACTGCTTAACGCTTAACTTGGCCCCAAGCACTGAGAGGTCATCTGAATGGTAATCAAATTAATAAAAGAGAAAAATAAATGCACTTAAATTTATTTAATTCATCAGAATTTAACTCAGACTACATAAAAGTTGATATGGTATGTCTAGCCAAGAGAATTGTGTCAGAAATTGTTTTAATTTTTAATTTTTCATGTCAAAATAGATCATATTTTTTGGATTTTCGTTTCTATCACAACAAGCCAAATCCGCTCCAAAATTCAATTTTAACATTTTCAAAATTAACAAAGTTATTTTCAAATTCTTAAATTCTTAAAACATGGCATATAGCGGTATGGAGCTACCCGGAATATTTTGTCCAGATGTAAGAATCTTTATTAATTAAGTTATTTTTATTTAATGCAGTTAAATTTGTATGCCAGGAAAGCGTTGAGCAGTTTGCAAGACTTTACGGAAGTGATAATGTTGGAAAAATGATGATAATAGCCTCGACCACTCGGCCTCAAAACAATTATCCAATTAATATGCAAGCCCCAGTTCATCCACAAACTGGAACAATGGAAGCCAACCCCTCCAGGTTCAACCGGAATCCACCAACAGTTGACGACCGAAATCTAAGATATATTCCTCCATATAATGCTTAGTTAGTTGAAATATCATAAAATGAGATTGATAATATTAAATTATATTATTATTTAGCGCACTCCAAGGATCTAGGCCCAACATCCATGGCGGATGTGGTGACCACTACCATACTTCATCGAATTTCAAGAACTATAAGCCTGAATATCCTGCGCATCACGCCCAGCAAGAGGTTCATAGTCAACAGGGAATGCATATGAATTATTCGTGTCTACCTCCGCCTGGACCGAGATTTGCGTGGCTTTAAGCCGTATATAAACTTTCCTTGTATGAAACTTATTGTAGGTGAACTGTTTAATTACATATCAAAATATAATGTTGTAACGCTCTTCATTAATGATACTCTTAATTTTAAAATGTCTGAAAATCATTTTGTAATTGCTAGTTGCAAAAATTCTCATTAATAATGATTAAATTCGAATTTTCTTCTAAACGGGATACATGCGCCTGAGAAAAAACTAAAATAATGAAAATAAACAAACTAACAGTTTAAAATAATTTTCACAAAAGTTTTCGCACAAAACAAGGGGCAAACAGAGAGTGAAAAAATGGCGAAAAAGAGCTAAAATCGTTTGTATTTTCTTTCTGTTTGTTCGGGAGCTCTCAACTGCGCCATTCAAGTTTGTTAAACATTAAAATGGAGCTGCAATAGAAAAACGCTAACTAAACGCGAGCAGACAGCAAACAAAGCATCCCGCCTTTGAGGGTGTATGTGTGGGAGTATGGGTAAAACCAACACAAACACACTTCAACCCACACACATCGCCTGCCAGGCATAGTGCAAAATAAACCAACAGCAAAAATAAATATTAAAATTTGTGCAATAAAATGCCGAGCAATAAAACTAAAATAAGTCAGAGGAAAACCAAAAAAAAAAAAAAAAAAAAATGGAAAGCAGTAGAAAAGTTTTATCCTTAGAGCAAGTGTGTTAGTGTTTTCTTATAGACCGCCATCGGAAGTGGCAAGCGGCTCAAGTTGCGAAATACATACACATGCCACACCATCACCCACTACACCACCTCCACCACTTACTGTCTGTCTGCCAGTGTTGAAAAGCGCTCGGAGAGGGAGGTGTAGGCAGCCCAGGCTGGCAGTTAGTTTATCGCGCTCACCAAATCTGGGGAACCGGCAGGATATGGAAGGCACAGGGGGCGCGGCACAAGTAATACAATGTATACGAAAATAAAGAATCCAGATTGTTGAGCAGGCCAGGCAATCGCCAGAGAGAATGCTGTAAAAATAAGTTTAATATATCCGCATTAAGATTGCCCAAGATTACCAGTCTCCAAGTTAGCACACTTGCAGTGTTGCCAAGTTTTTGGCTTGAATAATTTTAACAAATTTAGTTTTTAATAAAATTTAAGAGTTTAGTGTTAAAATATTTTATAGTCTTCGGCCTTTCAGATTTAATTTAAAGGTGGCTTAAGATCTAGTTATTTCTGAGGCAACCTTGATTATCCTTTTAAGTGTGTCATCTATATCTGTTCGTACTATCCATGATTTATAATTTTAAAATAAGCTAACTTATGGAAAAATAGCCAAGTGGATCATCCTTGGCCCTTCAAGATGGCGCTTGTCGATGGCGGAATTCACTTTGCGGTTGACTTTCGCCTTAAAGTATGCAACGTTCTTCTGCACTTTTTGGCTGGGGCAAAGCAAGGCAAACATCACGAGGCAAGCAAAAAGCCAAAGCAAGCATGTGATGTGTGGGAAAGAATAACAAGGGGAAAAATCGAAGCGGAAAAAGCGCTTGGGGAAAATGCCAAGCGAAGGACACCGACGGGGGTTTAAGGGGATTGGTGAGGGAAGCAGAGAGGAATGAAAAGCCAACACCTGCCAGCGGAAGGCGGATAGCGGATGTGGGAGGGGCTTGTTGTGCGGACTGTTTTCGGTTGCCGCTGCCGCTCGGAATTCAATAAAGTGCCGCAAATGATTACTGCATAAAAGAAATGTGCAATCCTGTTTGCCGGTGTTTTTGCAGCTTGTGCATCCGGCAGCATTTAGTCGATGAGAAATGGTGGAAGAAGATAAAAGTTATGCGAACACAACTGCGGTTAAAACAATAGCATCAATAGCATTGCAAATAGAATAAAGAAACTTTGTTCATAGTAAACTAAATACCCAAAATTGGAAAATTAATTTCATTTTATGGAAACTTTAACAGCTGAAAAAGATTGATGACTTCTTAAATTCAGGTAATTACACAAAGTCACTCCTTAACTGATTTGATAAAACTATCAATTTAATAAAAAAAGAAGTATTTTAATAAACAATATTCCTTTCATTTTGATAAGAGAGATATTTCATTTGATTAATTTATTTTTAATAATAAAACGAAATTCCCAAGTTAACTTATGTTTTTCTAAGGCATAACTATCAAACTAACCCCATCTATGCTTGTGTACGCCAAGAAATAAGCAAATGACGAATGGCTATGCAGCGGTAATAAAAATTAGATTATTCCATCAGGACTGAAATTGATTTTCCTCCTTCATCCTGGTCTAACTCAGAAATCGATTTAATATGCACCGAGGGCTTTCGCCCGATATCCACACAGCCGCCTGCCTGACAACCACATTCTCCTTGAAGGTAAGGTTGCCGTAGATAACCAAGCGGAACTGTGGCCTTTTTTCCACTTTGCTTGGCGGCTGCTCGCCCAGTTAGATGGCTATCAACGCCCTCGACAGACAGTCGTTGGAACATCTCGACGAATGTCGCAGCAAATGCAACGGAAAAGCGTCAACTTAATGGTCCACAACTGTTGTAATGTTCGCCACGTTGCCATAGCTGATGCTGTTGCTGTTGCTATTGCTGATGTTGCTAGTGGATTCGTGTTGCCGGGGTGTCAGCATTAGTCAATGCTCGAGGGCGGGGTGGCACAAATGATTTTATGTATGGCTTGAAGCATTGCAGCAGAAGCAGCAGCAGAGGCCGCGACAACAGGACGACAGCAATGGCACAAAGCAACAAACATGCAACAATAAAGTTTTATGAAACAACAGCAACTACTGGAAAAGTGCTTATTGCTTGTTGTTCTTGTTGCTGTAGATGCTATTGCTGCTGATGCTGTTGCTATTGCTATAGTTGCTGCTGCACCTGACGCTGCGTTGAACTCATCTCCGACGTTGCTGTCGCCGTTGTAGCTTTCGGCCATTTCCGTCAGCCAGCGCACTTAGTGCCACGCAGCGATACAGACATGAATACACAAATGCACTCAACGAATTAATTTTAATTTATCAAAAGCACCTTTTTTCTCCCAGGGTGCTAACTGAAAAGTTTAAGCAGCTAATTTATTTTCACACAAACTTAAAAAAAACTGTGGTTATTAAACAACTTAAGTGTACTTATATAGTTTTTTATTTATTTTCTTTTTAATATTTTTGGCTTATGTTGAGCTTTAAAAAGACGACGAGCCAAAGCCGCTGGAGCTTTCAACAATGGTTATATTTTTACTTATTACCACAGAAACTGTAGTATTTAATTAATAAATTCAAGGCACTTTATGTAATAAAAATCTATTTTTATAATCGACACGTCCCATTTACTCACACTTCTCAACCAAGAAAAAATCCAAACGAAAAGGATTAACAATCAATGATTTTATCTTAGCTTAACCTCGGTTCATCAGATTTATATAGATACTTAAGGAGACCATGTAGTCAGCCTACTACATTTACAACTAAGAACTTATTTGAATTACCTTAAACTACAATTAAAAACTTCAGTGTATAGACGGAAAACTGCAGACGAGACGCGCATGCAAACTTCCCAGTTAATGACGCAACTGTGGCGTGTTTGTAAAGTGTTGAAATTGAAATTATACCTTTGGGGGCTTTTGGAGTTGTTGCTATTGTTATTGTTGTTACTGGCTATGTTGTTGTAGCTGTTGCACACAAAATGCATTCAAGTGTAGTTGCGTCAATGTTTGTTGTTTTTGTTGTTGCTGGACGAACAACAATAGCAACAATAATGTTAATGAAAACAAACATTACCGAGAACAGCAACAGCAACAGCAGCAGCAGCAGTAGGAAAGCAGAAAGGATCGCAGCTGAAAAGCAGCAACAATTCAGCCCTGAACAACAAAACAGCAAAACGCCCTTAGCCAAATTGCCAAAGCAAAGACATTAGACCTCACAGACTCGGCAAAGTTTCAGCCTGGGTATCCAACAACTATGGCAACTAATGCATATATGAAGGCAATTCCAGTTTCGTTGTTGCTTAATTAAGTTATGAAAAGTTCAATATTGAGTGAATAAAATATCTACACCAAGCGAACTAGGCGAAAGTTTCTATGAAAAACAATAATAAAATACTGACTAAAAGATTATTTTAGATTTGATATATTAGGTCTTTGGTAATTGACAAAGCAATCAATAGAATTGTAATTGTTTTTGAAAATTGTGTTTTCTAAACTTTAATCCAATGATGTCTCTTAATAAACATGTGTAAGCTTTAATGACTTAGATCTTTTGCAATATTTTCCTTTGTTCTCTTCAAAAAGAAGTTTAAGTTTTAAAGCTTGAAAATTCAATGTGGCCAGTTTAAGGTTTCTTGCCTTTTAAAAGCCAATGTGACCGTGTGCTGCAATCTAAAGTAATTATTACAACAGCTGCTGGTAACTTTATTTTACAAGCTTGTTTTTCTTTTCAAACAAAAAAGTTCAGCCATTTAATTAAGTTCAAATAAAATTGGCATTCAATTTGCCTTCATCTCGCGATTCGTATTCATTGTCTGTGCAATGCCGTGGACATCATTTAAGTACACTAATACCGATTTACGAGCCCAGCTTCATCTATGTAGAACGCCCAGGACATAAACACGCTCCACCTCATCTCTCAGCTGGGGCATTCTCATTTGCCATTGCCAACCAATAAACTAAAATAAAATGCCAACGCAGGACACTTAAAAGTCTGTAACTTTTTATGGCCAACGGACGAGCGCTGATGATGGCTGGCCACATCATTATCAACGTCAACGTCGTTGTCTCTCGCCTCATCCTTTGTCCAACTGCCCTCCACTTTTTTTCACCATCACTCCCAGCATCACTCCAATCCAATCCTCTTCTATCCGCATTTTCCCGCTCGCATCTCATCTGCTGATGAACCGAAGCCGGAAAGACAAAGGCGACAAAATAATAAGAAGAGGGAAAAAACCTACTCAAAGTTAATCAAATTAAGTTTCGGCTGCTTTTGTAAATCTGGGCAAACAATGAACCCCATTCCCACTGAAGGCGAAAAGAGAGTTCCCAGAAAGGACAACGAATAGACCAATGGACGCGTAAATTAATCATCTTTTTTTTGCCGCTATCCTCATGCTCCAACGTTTTTGTCTAG